GTTTCCCTGGATCCTTCCCAAAGTACATGGGTAGGGACTCAACATATTCTTACCTTGTCCATTTTTGTTGACTCTAAACTATAATGAAATTATACATTTTTCTTCATATTCAAAACCACATGACTTGAAATCATGGCACCAATAGTTCAATAGAAAACACTTCATTATAAAATGTCTCACCAGAAATGTTTGATAGCTTTGTATTACATTACTTCTTTTTCATCCAAATTTCTTTGGATCCATTTGTAAATCTCCCAAGTACATTGTCTTTTGGTGTTTTGCCTTCTATGCATAGCATGTCTCCAGTTCTCTCTGGAGACGGAATCCTTTGTTTGTGCAGGGAGAAGTTCCTTAAAGACCTTGTTGTGGAATCATTACTAGTGACAGTAACTTCTGCTTTGGTGATAAAATGGACTTTTAGAGAGTTCTAGCTTTAAAAAGACCCAGATACATCAACTAGAAGCTCTGTGGAATGAATCTATTTTTTCCGAAAAGAAAAATGAAATAAATAAAGCCCCAAATCAAGAGAAGTATCATAATATCAATTTCTTTTTCCATACATGAAAAAATGTTCCATCGATCCTCTTTGAAATGTAACCATTATCCTTTTCTGTGACAGGAGGGACCTCGTGGTGGCAGGCCAGAATTTTTTCTGTGCTGGCTGTGGCACTCCAGTAGAACCTAGTAAGTATACACATTGGATAGCCTGCTTTCTGTGTAATGACGGAACAGAGAACAACAAAATTGGACAGTGCGTTGTTTTAGTGAGAGGCTTTTGATGAGAGGTTTGTATAAGAATTGCATGTGTGTTTCCCTCTCTTTCATGAAAAGACCATCTGCTTTAATAGGCCAGCAGCCTACAAGGCTCTGTGGTGGGTCTTCTGCTTCTGTGACTTCTGCTTACTTGTTCTCTTCCCGTTGTGCACTCAGCTAAGGCCACATAGCCTCCTTTCTAGTTCATGAAGGTAGGCTTACTGGTGCCTCAGAGATTTTTATGTGCAGTTTTCTGCCCTGGCAGTGCTCTCCCCACAGACACCCCTATGTTTGGTTCCCTTCCTTCACATTTTCACTCAAGTCATGAAATCCTGACTCGCTGCTGTATCAAAAATATCAATCTCTTCACATGCTTGGCCACACGTACATTCACATATACACTCTTTGTCTCAAACACTCACTTATACACACTCACACCTATATATTTCACACTTATACACACATACATTCACAACTCAATAGATACTCTTACACACACACACACACATTCATACATACACACTCAAACACACTGTTCATATTGCCCTTCCATTCTTATTTTTTCTTCTTAGCACTTACCTTTCTAAAATAATTTATATTTCACTTGATTTATCATCTCATCTGTCTCTTTCGTGATTATAAGTTCTTTGAGGACAGATTTTGTCCATTTTGTTCATTGTTTTATCCCTGGCTTCTAGAACAGTGCCTGGTCCTCCAAAAAGATTTGTTGAATGAATGAATGGTCTACCAAGGAACTGGCAGAACAACTCTGAGAGAATTTGAGGAAGTGGTCTGAGGAGATCATTCCTGGACCTACTGAGGCTTGATGAGGTTTTAAGCAATCAAAAACTCAGCTGAGTTCTGCCCTGAGGAAGGTTTGGAAGGAAAGCCTTAGGAGAAAGGGCTCCCTTTGGTCTTTGGTAGATAGCCTCTGAAGGAAAAGGACTTTAAGGAGCTCTACTTCAAGAATAAAAATAGGAAGCAGAAATCTACCTTTTACCTCATAGGATGATACTTCTTGACATGCATCACAGTTGCAACTAATCCTCTTTGTAAGTGATTCATCTTCCCAGCTACTCTAGCAGGGATCTTATCTGGTTCACCACTGTCTCCTGTAAATATTGGATCTGGAACTAGGGACATGTGACTATGGTTCCACACACTTTCTTTCCTATCTTCTTCTTTAATTTTTATTGTAATTTGGGTGAAAGTTTACAGAACAAATTCCTTTTCCATGGAACAGTTTCTACACATTTTGTTTCATGACATTGACTGTAATTCCCCATAATATAACAACTCTCTTCCCACTTCCTCCCTGTAGTTACTTACCTCTTTCATATGTCCTTCTCTCCCATGCACTTCTGCCCCACAACCTGTCTCCCTGTGCAAACACTGCCCTTCCTTTCTCAAACTATTGCTCATTCCAAGGAGTATCTCTACCTGATGTAAATGTTCACCCCATATGCCTGCCAGTTGTTTGGCTGAAAACCACAGGAGTGAGTTTAGTTCTGAATCTGAAGGGTAACTAGGGGTTATAGTCTTGGGGGTCTCACCAGGCTCTTTCAGACCAGCAAACCTGGTCTTTTTAAAATGCTTTTACGTTTTGTTACACATTGTTCTCCCAGGATCTACCCAAGATCTCCTGAACTGATCCCCCTCTGAGTGGTTGACAGGTTTCACATACTTTTTAAGTATTTCCCCACGTTGGTTCACATATTTGTGAAGATGTACACCTGTAGTGTTGATACAGCTGTGAATCTCCTTGTCCTCATGGAGCCTTCCTATAGCCTTGTATGGAATATAGCCATCAACCAAGTAAATGATGAGGGTGATTGTTCTGGTTACCTAGTGCCACTCTGACAAGAAATATACCACAAATGGGATGGCCTTAACAAACAGGAGTTTATTCTTACAATTTGGAGGCTTTAAGTCCAAGTTCAAAGTGCCAGGCTCTAGTGCTTGGGTGAAAGCCCCTGAACCTTGGGTTCCAGCTCTGCCTCCTTCTCCTGGCCCACTGGAGCTAGAGGCGTTTCTTTACTCAAACAGCTGCTGAGGCTAGAAGTCCCAAGGTTGACAAGTAGGAAGGCACAGTGTTACCAGACCACACAGCAGGCCATTAGCTTAAGTCCATTGTAAGTCCCAAGATCAGTATAGCATGGCAGGCTGCTGAGCAATGACATGGCTATGCGCAGAGTCCAAGCGTGCCATAGGCTAGAGACCATTCCCAAAGACTTCTCCTTATATACAGGAAGCAGACCACATACCCAAAGACAGCTACCCAGCTGCTTGTGGTAGATCTCACTGTGGAGCTGATTGCCAGTCTCCTCATGGGGATTAACTACCACAAGCTGCTTAGCCACTCAACCAGGCCCAGCCAAGTTGACATACAAACCGAACTACCGCAGTGATGCATATAATGAAAGAGAAAGTCAAGGGTGCTATGGAACTTTCAGTAAGAGAACTTAATCTGGGCTTGCAAACTGGGAATGAGGAGGTTTCTAAGGAAGTGATTGTTCCCAGAAGATTGGGGAAGGCTCACAGTGTGCAAATGGCCAGAGGCAATTGGAAAGAAATCCTGTGTGACTGGAGAATAAGAAGGTGAGGGGGAAAAAAAGCATGCTGCAGAGGTTTGCAGAGCACAGAATTTAGAAGGCATTATCAACCATGTAAATAATTTCAACCTTTTGTTATGAACTTCCTGTTGTTGTTGTCATTGTCATGTGCTGTCGAGTCAGACCCGACTCATAGCTACCCCTCCTTGGGTTTCTGAGGCAGTATCACTATGGAAGTAGATTGCTCAACCTTCCTTCCGAATGAACTTCCTAGGCTTTTAAAATATTTTTTTAACTTTTTATTTTGAGATAATTTAACACTTACAGAAGAGTTGCAAAAATAGTACAACAACTTCCTGTATTGCCTTTACCCAGCTTCCCCCTAATGTTGGCATCTTACATAATTATATATAGTATCATCACTAAAACTAAGGAATGACTGTTGGTAGGTACATTACTAATAACTGAACTACCAACTTCATTCAGATCTTATGTTTTTCTACTCATTTCCTTTATCTGTTCTGAATTTAGCTGTCATGTCTCCTTAGCCTCCTTCAATCTGTGACATTTCCTCAGTCCTTCCTTGTCTTTCATGACCTTGACACTATTCAAGACTACTGGTCAGGTATTTTCTAGAATGTTCCTCAGTTTGGATTGTCTGATGTTTGCTCATAGTAAGGTTGAGTTTATGTATTTCTGACAAGAATACCACAGAGGTGATGTTTTAGTGTCCTAGGGCTGCCATAACAAAGTACCACAAATTTGATGGCTTATAAGAACATCAGTTTATTGTCTCATGGTTCTGGAGGCTAGGAGTCTGAAATTAGGGTGTCAGCCATGTTGATTCCTTCTGACGCTCTGAATGAGAATCTGTTCCATGTTTCATTTGTAGCTACTGGTGACAGCCAGTGGTCCATGGTATTCCTTGATTGTAGATGCATCATCACTCCAAATCTCTTCCTGTGTTGTCACATGGCTATCTTCCCTCTTTCTTCTCTTCTCTTTTATAAGGACACCACTGATACAGGATTAGGACTTAATGTTAACTGATAATATCTCCAAAGACCCTTTTTCCAAACAGGGTCATGTTCCCAGGTTCCCAGAGTTAGAACTTCACCACATCTTTGTGGGGCACACATTCAATGTATAGCAGGTGGTGTGCCCTTTTCAGTGCATCATGTCAGGTTACATGATGTTGATATGTCTTATTACTGATGATGCTAACCTTGATCACTTGGCCAAGCTGGTATCTGTCACAATTTTCTACTGTAAACTTACTATATTTTGAGGCTATGAAAATATCCTGTTTTTCCTTAAACTTTTGTCCTTCAATCTATTATTCATCAGGGGATCTTGACTACAGCAATGATTACTTTGATGTTCAAATGATAGCTTTCTATTTCTCTCATTCTTTCTACATTTATTAATTGAAATTCTTCTGTACAGAAGAGTTATCCCTTTTCTCACATTTATTTTTTTATATGTTTAGTTATGCCATTATGGACTTATCTTTATTTTATTCTTTGGGTTATAATCTAATAAATTTTAAGTCAGGGATTTTAGAAGGTTCATTCTTGTTGCTGGGTGGAAACGATTAGAGTGAGGCAGGAATGGATGTGTAGAGGCCAGCTAGTGACCAGGCCAAAGAAAGTGATGGTGGTCTAGGGCAGAGATGGTGATGACTGGAGCAGAAGAGATAGCACTACAGCAGAGAGAGGGTAGTAGACAGATGGGTGAATGTTTTAAGAAGTAAAGATCTTGGTTTATTGGTGGCAGGGAGGAGGGATGAGAGAAGGAAGGGAACAGAAAGAGTCAAGGATGACCATGTGATTTCTTGAAATAGGGGAAGCTAGCAAGTCGAGAGCTGGGGAGACACTGTGGACTGGAAGTTGCCCCATCTGAGAAGAAAATAAGGGGAATTTTCAGGCCTGAAGGAAAGGAAGAAGGATATCCCAGGGAAATGGGGGGAGCTGAGCACCAGGAGAGCCTCAGACCCAGTTGCTTATACAGAGACATATGTGAAATACTGGTGGTGCACCTGGTGGGAAATTCTAGGATGTGAAGTTGACTTAGTATCTGGGGTCAATATTTGTTGTTGTTGTTGTTATGTGCCGTCGAGTCAAATCCGACTCATAGCGACCCCTCCTTGGGTTTCCGAGGCAGTATCACTACGGAAGTAGGATTGCCCAACCTTCCTTCCGAGGAGTGGCTGGTGGGTTTGA